AGCGCCATAATTGAGTCTTCGTTGACTAACGAATTCTGTTGCATTGCCGCCATACGCCAGCCGATTAGTGTTAGTAACAATGCGTACAACGTAATAGTAAAAAAAAAAAAAAAAAAAAAAACTAATCTGTCCTTCTTATTAATTGAGCGCTTCGCATTTTGCCCCGTGTACGTTGCATGAACACGTATTCTGTTCTTGGAGATAGATAGCGGCAAGCAATCTGCCTCCAGAGCAAACTTTTTCACGGCACAAAATCTCGTCAGAAACTACTAGTCTGTCTAATGTATGTGCAATGCGAGGACATATTGTGTTTTGTGTTATCCTGACAGAAACAAATAGATTGTACCTTAGGTATTCACAGACCTGCCTATATCGTTTCCCTCCATTTCAACCACAGTTTGAGAGGCGTAATTTCGAAAAGATGTTTATTTCACAAACTACCTATAGTCACGTTCTCCTTTAAACATCGTATACGTATTCAAGGCCATCTATGACGTTCGTGATTTGAACGGCGATTGTCCATCACGTGTATGTCTTTCAGATCAATACAATGCCATTCATAAAAATCAAAACTATACGTCACTACTCTTAGACAAGTGCCAAATCGCAAAATTCGCCCTCGGAACAACATAAATTCTTGGTCCATCACCGTATAGCACAATGGCCGTTAGTGATAATGAAGCATCACACACTACGCTAGTAATTTATTAACAAACAATAATTCTTTATGAGTTAAACAAATTCACGGCCTAGAATATGTTCGAAACGTTCTTTCTTGTCCGTGTTTTCGGACAAGGCTTTTTGCTTCTTACTTTCTCTCAGCCGAATCCTATTAAACCGGTAGATTGGCACCACCATCACGATATTTTCATTCCGTTCGTTTATTGAACACGCGCTAACAAACATAAACACAAACACACAGCCAGTAACGCTGTCGTAAGCGATCGATTAGTTCATTAGTCGCGCAACTGGCCGATAGCCGCTTCTATGCCCTTTCGCGTTCAATAAATCATCTGTGACTCCACAGCAAAAAAAGTTCAAGTTAACCTTGGCTTTCCTTTGCCGTGTTTGTTGTAAACCTTTAGCGGCAAGCAATATCCGGTATCTGTGTTTATTGCCGAGCATCTAGCCAGCCCCCAACTCGCGTCCCTATGCACGTCCAGAATGTAAACAACTGTACGCCGTCACTCACGGCGTTTTCGCGAAGTTGCTCGCTAGTCAGACTGTAACGTGAAAAGGCTAAACAAATTCTGTAGAAGGTTGCTTTCAAAAAAAAGAAGAAAAATTATTTTTGTCCTATAGAAATTGATCTGTCCGATTCGAGCTAACTCGAATCGATTCGTTATGCTTGCCCCGTTGGTCTTCTTTTATTTCTAGGGCAAAGCACGTGCACGTCCACGTCGGCTTGCCGCTAGCTCATCTCGTTTCAGGGAGACTTAACAACGGGTTAGGCATCCGTCTGCGGGGCTAAGAAAGGAGGAGGGGATGAAGAGGAGAAATAGTGAAGAGAGAAGGGGAGATCTGAATGGATAAAACAAAAGTTCTCGAGATGGACCTGTGTCTCTCGAGTGTGCATGTAGATAATGACTAGACAATAATTTGTGGGTTGTTTCTGCAACGATCATCAAAATTGCAACGATAGGTTGTTGTAGATAAGCTTGTAGTGAGAGCAGTGTTTGACAACTTTGAAGCACCGTATGGTATGTAGTAGATCTATCTGTTCTAGATCGGAAAGGAATGAAGAATATTAAACGGAGGGAAGAAGAGTACGCCTCTAAATTTTAGCGGTTCAATATTGGTAGAATTGGCACTTCGTGACCTGCTTCGTGAATGTAAGGCTAAAGAAAAAACGGCTTGGACAAAACGGCCTTGACGGTAACTAATAAAACAAGGGTAACGCGTAGCTCTATAGCACTTCGATCAAACGCCTTAGAGAGATCGATGCAGAAAAGTTATAACGATTATAAATTTGCTTTAAAAAAGGTCTCCATCTTGCCCTATATTAGCTGCTTTATTTTCAAAGAATATACATTTTTCTATTAATAATAACGATTCCAGCACGAGTAGTAGCTTAAGCTAATTCGCCACAGTAGTAGAGGTATATATGCCCACACATCGTAACTAATGAAATAAGACCAAACGAAAAAATAAGCCCCATAATAGGGGCTAGAGACTAATGCGAAGCAATGTTTCAGCTAGGATATCTTCTTTGATCTGCGCTATTGTTTTCTATTTTTAAAATATAGATGGCTCGTTTTGTCGTCAAAAGTGGGTGATAGTAATGATATGCACAGATGCTCAATGATGCCAAGTAAAGCATTTACCGCTTGCACCGCGTCCCTGCCTGTACCAACTGCCATTACTCCAACGAAGACGAATAAAAATAAAGCAAAAAACAACCAACGGTGAGCTACGGAAAGAAGCTATGTGGCGTCTTTGAAACGTGCCATCAACGTCTGTCTTTTCCTGCCGTCGTCTAGTCTGCGGTGTCCCGCTACAGAAACCCACATTGACACACACGCAGACGCTTACATTCATACGTGCGCAGACTCCTATGCACTCTTGCCATTGTCACTGTCGTTGCTGCTGTTGTGCGTGGCCTGGCCTTCTGTTTTCTGTTTGTGAATGGGGGGTCGTTACGATTGCTACCATCGCATTAGTTCATAGCAGATGTGTAACACTCAAATAAGAACATGCTCCCATTCTTACAGAGCACAACGGACGCACACATAAACACGATCAGCAATTTATCTGTACAATATCTTGCTACATATAATTATGAGGTATTCCTATACGCTTGCTCGTCGCGAAATTGGAGAGCATGGCCATAGTACCACAGAGGCGTCGCGCACGCGCATGTTGCAGTCATCGCATTGTATCATTTCTAGATTAATGCATTGAAGATGCCGAAACAAAAAGAAGTCAACATGCAGGAAAATATATCGCTAGCGTCAGCGATTAACACATAAATCAGTAATGACCATAATATTGCTCACAAACATTTTTGACTCGCGTTACTGTGTTTACGGGCATGGAGGGCTAGCTACCTTGTTTCTATAAAGTAAAAGCTATCAGGTACTCATTAATAGACTTGTTATCGCTGACGTTACTCATAAGGGCTGGCTTTAAGTGAGTGAGCAGTGCAAAGTCACGTAGAGACCCAGGGTCGCGAAACATATTAGCCCATACTGCGTTCGTTGTAGACGCACAGAATGAACTCTCTTGCTAATGCTTGTAATATACAGTACAATTATGAAAACAGTGTCTTAACGGTTATGACAACCGCCCAGAACAGACGGTTGCTAGCAGGCAGACTGAGTAGCTTCAGGTGTGGCGTTTGTTTGTTTGTTACCTATTATGTAATCATTAATAATTCTGGGCGCCGTAATAAACCTTTAGTTCTCGACCTTAAACACAAACAAAGTGAACTAACTTCTTACTTTCCTTAAGCATAGATTACTTGTTTAATTCAGTGCAAATACCTAGATGAATTTGACTAATTAACGCCAATAATGACCGAAAATAGATTATCTACCCACTTTTAAGTCTGTCGGCTGGCTAATCATTTGTCATCATATGTCACAGTCAACAACAACGCTCAAATTTGCCCGCCCAAATTTCAAACGCCTGTTTGCTTGGGCGCCAATTAGAAGCTGCGTGTGTACCTTTGGTAAGCGTTGTTTTTTCTGCCCCGACCAATCTTCCAATGACACGAGCGTGAGGCATGTGTGGCAGCTAAAGTGTCTCAAAAGTGGCAACTAGTCCGCAGCGTAAACGTAATTAAATGAGATGGTGTGTGAACAATCCACAACAAACAAACAAACGCTTTCGTGCGGGCATCGTCGTGAACTAACAATACAACTACTACAACTTCGAAGGAAGACGGTAGCGGAAACTGCCTCTATTATAAGGCTTAAGCTTCTGTCGTATGAATGAATGTTGCAGTAGCTCACTACAGGCAAACGACATTTGAACGAGTTATCAAGTTAGATATCGTGTCAACCGCAGTAAATGGTGCTGCGTCCATGTACCTCTGTATAGTACTTTTCGTTTATCTTTCTCGTTTTTTTTTTTAATTCTGGGGGATGTGGTTGGCCACTGCCACCAAATGCGCTACGACGCCTCTATCACCGTCGGTATCGTGTCGACGCGAGTACAGCCAAGAAGAAATTCCTTGCAGAGCTTCTATAATTCGTCTATTCACGGGGCTAGGCAAGGCGTAGGGCTTAGACGGTGCGCAAGCAAACGGGGGTGAGTGGGGTATAGGTTAGAATATGTGATGTGAAAGAAACGAACATGTGCAAGTTAGATGCATGAGCTAATTTACGTGATTGATTGATATGATCGATCATCAGCGAAGGCAGTTCTGATAGCTTGTCAACGAGGGGGCAGCGGCTGATTGTCCTGCTATAATATTGACATCACTAGCGCCATGGTACAGGCATAACAGGAGTAACGATCTCCACAGCGTAGGGGCACAAGAAACGCACCCCTATTGGGACTATGAAACTGTGATGAACTCTTCACTTTTCTTTTCGTATAAACTGTCCTCGTCGGTTTTAAAGCTATTATAACTTTGTCATTAGCCCTTTCTTGATTTTGTTTTTCCTATCTGCTCGTTCTAGTGAGTAGTTATGTCGTATGTGTCTCAATTATTATGTATATACATTATCAAGAAACGCATCATCTACTTAAAATTATTCCCTACCGCCCCGCAAGCAGCGTCTGCAACGGTTTACTAATAGGAATAAATGGCCATGTCGGTTACAATAGCCATTCATAAAAATGACAAAAGTCGAACACTCAGTACTGCCAATGGAGTCGACGGAAGGAAACGATAATGGCCATCGCGCTTTACTACTTTTACACAACTGTCTGCTGAATGAAGGCGTCCAACCGCTTAAACATTTTCTGTCACGTTTTAATGTTAATGACATCTGTGTGTATCTAACCCATATGCGTTCGTTTTTTGTTGTAAAAAAAAAAATGAATAATTTCAGGCGAGCGGCGCACAGCGGCCGAGCGATTAGAAGAAAGTAAGGCAAATTACATGAAGAGCGAAAGGGTGCTGGATACTCGCCAAGCGTTGAAACAACCCCAGCAATCTGCCCCCGGTTCTCATCGACCCCATACCGCAAGTATCATTCATGCCATTCTACTTCTGAATAGAAAATGAATGAAAAAAAAACTTGAGCAGTTATTAACGAATGTATTATGGGTTGAATGGACGTATAGAATACTTCCATACATCTAGGAATCGTGACAACTAGGGTGATTAGTGCGAGATCTTTGGCGAGGAGCGATACACGAACAGATATAGTCAACGTCGAATGAAAATCGCGGATAACATTCTTCAATGTCATAAACAGTGTCTGAAAAGATACACAGCACTTGTCGCCGTGGTTGAAGAGGTGCTGTATGGATGTATCTGTTAAAGGGTGTCCTCGAGGTGTACAGGTTCAAGCTGAGATTAAATGATCTATGTGAAGTCGCGTAGGGGAAATGTGCATCAGATATTTTCATTATGAAAACCATTGCAATACGCTAGCCGATATCCACTGAACGCTCTCTAATGTGTAACATCCGTGATCTGCTACGCACCAACCTGAATTTATCTCGAAGAGGTAGTTAGGTAGAAACTTAAAAACGAAACGTTACATTTAAGATAAAGTAGGGACCTTGCTTATTGAAGCAATTGCATCGCAGTGATCTTCTATCAAACTCCCACGGATACAGATCAGACTACAGTTACATTGTCCCATCATGTACTTCAGCAAAACGAATATTAACAGACGGGAACGGTTATTTCTAGGACAGCGGTGCAAAACACTTTCAGTACTAAACCATTAATAATATAAGAACTCTGTGGATCAAATAAACTTTGTGTATGACTATTATAAACCTCCTATAGCTCTGAATATATGTATTTGAGAGTATAAATACAGAGAACCTTAATTTCATGTTGTAGGCTAATCATCTAGTGTTCTGCTGCCCTATTACGAATCTACCAGCAGAAGCAATATGGCAAAACGCTTTTCGTTTAACGCAGTATGCGACTTATGACGACTGCAGTAAATCAATTACACTTATCAACTGTAACGGTATTAGCGTAAAATGTTTGCCTATTGGTGACAGAGGCTTTGAATGTGGTTCAAGTTCGTATTTCGGTGCAGGTGTACCCTAACGATAAAGCAAAACTTCAAGTGACAAAAAAATAGAAAAATACAGTAATTCTAGTCCTTTAATTACTTATCCACAACTTACTACCTCGGTATATCCTGGAAACAATGTTTCACAGATGTGTCAAGATCCCTTGTAGAAAAAATGGCAGCTGAGAGTCGATTACAGAAAGTGTTTCTTTGGATGAACGATTTCCAGCAGCTTCACCTTTGTCAGACTTTTAAGATCTGCAGTTAAAATGAACAATCAGTAACTGAAGTAAATCGTCACGGTACAGACCTTTACTAAATTAGCGAATACATAGTCATCTGGCCAGCCACTCTTTGTAATCGCCTGCCTAACATGTATTGAAATGAAAATGTTTACTTAGGGCCTTCCACACATATTGAATCTGCAATAGCAACTGAATACATATCACCCTTATCGTTATAGACTTACCAAAGGTAGGTATTTTAATGGGGCCAAGAGTGGCGGCCCCAAGACAATCAAGAGAGAGAAATCTATGGCTAGAAGTAGTGTGCATTTGTAGACTACTTAGCGGTAGTGAACCTTGTAGAGTTGAACAGGATCAACTTTGCAACGAAGTATTGCATTTCTATAAGTAAGATATAGACATAAAGATTAGCTGCTGGCGTCGCTCTCTTCAGTTGTTGCCTTATCGCATGTAACTATGATGGCCTTTACAGGTGATGCCCCAGCAGTCGGGAACCAGCGTCTACACGAAGCTACCTCTAAAACAAATTCATAGCGCTCCCCTCGACGTCCCACGGGATGCTCGAGGGGAGCCGCATAGATCGCCACCCGACCTCCGTATGGCGCGGAGAACCCTGCAAGAGCTGCAGGGGTTCCGCGCCTTACAGCAAGTAGTCGAGGCTAAGGCTCATCTTCATAGCCAGTACCCTCAGCTGTATGCTCCCTACGTGGCTAGAATGATTCCCAGTCAGGGTCAAACGGGGCAACAAAACGGGGCCCATCGACATTCATCGCCTGTGATCCCCGTTTCGCGAAGGCATGTACTCTACTCTCTCTGCTATAACGTACAATAGTATGTAGGCACGATCGGCAAAACCTGACGATTGGCGCTATTTACCATTCGTATGGCATTTGTATACGCATCTTATACAGTACACATTAAGTCTTACTGTTTTTGCAAATTTTATGCCTGCATTACCTAGACTCTTTATCTTTTAAAATGAAAATATTCTATTCGCCCGCAAAAGAAAAAAGACTACGAGTGTAGTCTGAAAGTGCCTTGAAGGCGCGGAATGACCGTGACACCACCATCAGTTAATCTTGAAATGTTGTTCTTTGGAGAAGTGCTGCCCCAGCCTTACCAAGATCAGAAAGACTTTAGACGGACTATAAGCTCCGTTGGCATCAGCAACACAGGCAATTTTGCAGATATATTTGCATAAGCCGAAAGGCAATGACATTCGTACCTTCTTCCCTCATCGCGCCTAACTCTACTTCGTGTTCCCACGTGTGGGGTTGTTTGTTTATAGGTACGCGTCGTCGAGTCAACCGCCCCTGAACAGACATCCTTTAGGTGGTATTCCAAATCATACTGGTCACCCCAAAAACCGCCCAAGCCCAACCTCTAGCCAGCGGCAATCTTCGCCGATGCTGACGAGAGGATCGCCACCCCACGGCCCACAGCCAACAAGCTACGGGACTGGTTTGCATGGGGGTCCCAATGGTCATAACCATTCCTATCTTTATCACAATTCGTCTTCACCTGATTGTCTTGCTTTACTTTTTGGCAACGCTACAGTCGCCGCGGCCGCCGGCCAGCATAACGCTAGCTCTGCACAAAGCTTGGTAAGGGACTTCTATTAAGCGTTATGTACGTTTATCTGGGTTTAGGGTAAACAAGTCATTATCCACCTAGCTTTTTATGCTAAAATAGCGTTGCTAATGGAATGCAAAATTCCAATTATTGATAGGGAAATATATTATCTAACTCGTGCTGAATACATGTGGCGTCTAAATAGAAGACTTTTGGTAGAGCGAAATTAAGTTAAAGAATATATATTTAACGAACTTGTCAGACTCCTGGCAATAGAGGAAAAACAAGTAACTAAAATATCAACAAACAAGTGAGCCCGGAAGGCTGCTTCGGCATTGCTGTTTAACGCCTTCTGGGGGATTTCGTGCTGTTATCTCACTGATTTGTCGTCTCGCCCCTCTCATTCTTTTCCACTAGGAGCATCAATATCCACGAACTTCTACTCCGCATCACCAACCACAAGCACATGTCCCATTCTCGGATTCAGGAACCACTTTTGTTTCTGCCAATTTATGCTGTGGTCCACAGACGTCAACTCCAGTTCATCGGCAGGCAGGTACTATCGTTACCGCAGCATATCCGAATGTGAATGCCGTAAACGCAGCATCTACTCATCGTCCGCTAGTCCCTCAGGCGCTACACAGGGTCCCCTCAGCTCGGGTAAGTTACTGTGGCCGGCCAACTATACTTTTCTGTTCGAGCAGGACTAGTAGTTCGTAAAGGTACAGACATACGTAGTTATCGACACATCTACATAGGCGCGCTGGGGTGAGGAAAGCCCTTATGAAACCTAGGTGGACGAAAAAAGTGTTCCGAATGTAACATTTTTGCTACTTCTACACCCGAGAACACATATTATTTCGGAAGCGATAGAGAAAGGTAGGCTTATATGGGTCAAACAATTTGCTAAACGCTGCTGGGAAAGAGCAACATTAATTTCTGGAAAAATAGTTAGAGACACTTAAGTCACGTTAGCCCATATTGCCGCACCGAAGTAGGGCTGTATGGGCCACTAATGATTCCATACGAAGAAGCCAATCAGAGTGACTGGACCTCTCTTATAATCTTAGTAGAACATTTTTTACATATTGCATCGTTTTTGTAAAGGTCATATGTTTACATAGAAATGAGCAATGTATTTGTTTGGACAATATAGTTGAAGATAATTGATTCCGAGACAGCCGAGGCGAACAAACAGAGTAACTAGCGTTGCTTTGCGGGGATGATAAGTGATTGCTCTTTACGATAAAGTGGCCATCGGCATTGGAACTGTTCGCAATAGAGCTTGCATATCTGGGGTTGCGTGACCGTCTTAATGGAATGATACTCCGCGACGGCCCGACGGCCACAACCGATTATCAGGCTGCGCCACTGAAAAAAAAAAAGTCATTTTCTGTGAGTACGTTTCCGTTCGGTAGAAAGATGCCCGTGCTCTGAAACCCCCTTACGATATCTGCCATCGTAAGTAATTCCTCGTACGCACTTTCTACCAGACCGGCCATGTTACAGATTGTGGTCTTTCTACCGTGAGACGCAACAGTCCTCTGTTGAATTATGCGAAGCCGAGCTTTGAATAGCTGGGATTGCAGTTTCGCGCAGTACGAAGAATATGAACCCTGTCCTTTATGAGCTTCCTGATTATCCATTGCTAGCAAGTATGATTTCTCTAGGAAACAGCGAATGATCGTGATAAAATGCTTAAGACAACATTCGAACGCTTTTCTTGTGAACCATCTGGACGAGTTTGCAAGCCTCAGTTTCCAACGGATGCACCCTTTAATATATGTTCCTTGAAATACACATTAAGCAAGACAAGACACGACGGAGCTGTCTTTCCATTGGCGGAGACGAAGGTGAGTATTGAAAATTTCCTGTCCTTTAGACAGAATCATGATTTGAGAGGGGGGTCTCGTCTAAATTAAAAGAAATGATGCTGAAAGGCAATACGATTTCGGTGTTTCGGTTAAACAACGGAGTGATCCATAGGGTCCCACTCCACTTGTATATATGTATAAGCATACGGGAAGCACACTACGGTGACTAACCGAGGCAGACCACGGAGCTAGATAGGTTGGTACAGCCGCCTGGTGCAATGGTAACACGGTTTTTTACGTACAACTTTAAATATTTATCAGGAATGTGGATACAGTCGATTTCTGGCTACTAAGTATGTGTAAAGCTACCGTGGGGCAATTGGTGCCTGGGGGGGAGGGGGACGGGGGGACTGTAATGGCCGGCCTGTGAAACGACGAGGTCGATGATGTCGTGGCAATATGAGAGAAGACCCGGATATGAAATTTCATCTTGAGAGGATGCAACACAGAAAGATGAGTAGCTAACATTTTTCACACCAACTTTGATTTAAGAGATCAGTCGGCACCACGATAAGACAAGAAAATGCCAAAAAAGCATCGCACAGCCATTGATGGACGATAAGCGAACGTTATGGACGATAACGTTGTGCCCCAGTGAACTGGCTGAACTACTGCGTAGCAACCTTCAGCCACTGCGCCCGAACGGCAAAGCCAAGGCTTTAGTCAGAGGGGTGACACCATTTGGATTTATGTGACATTTATTTTGTAAATATACATTCATTTTGTACTTTGTACTCCTTTTGGGGTTTCCAGCGCGACCGTTTTCTTATCGATTGTTGCTGTTATAGGCAAGCCGGCCGAAGAGTCCCAGTCCGCTCCCGAGAGGCCAAGGAGCTTCTGACAGTGTCTCCGAGCAACATCCCATCCGGAGATCAGCCTCCTATACTGAACGCCAACTGAGAAAGTGCATCGGAAGGTAGTGCTTTTTTTAGTAGCTCAAGTATGCGTCTGACGCATACAAACCCATAGGAACACAAGGTTTGCATAATCCAAATTTATTTCCGTTATTAAATTGTGCTAAGTTACGAAATGCAGATGAGGCTATATAAAAGCGTTGATGTAGTAAACCTATTACACTGTTTAAATATTAGCATTCTACTATTTTCCAATATGTCGAACTGCTAACTACCTTTGGAAGGTATTTTATGTATAAGTCAGAAGTAGATACTATTTCCATAAGCCCTCATCTGTGCACGTGAGCCTGTTTGACGATCTGTTTAAGATGATCTCAAGGTAAGCAGTGTCGTTCAGGTGCTACCTGCAAAAGACGTTTACTCTAGGTTGTAATCTCTATTCATTGATTTCGCCCACATAGTTTTCATTATAACCTCGTGTTGTGACTCTAGTAAAAGACCCTAGACATGCTGAAGAAATAAATACAAGACATCTAGCATGAAGATCTAATTTTGAGTCTTACCCCGTTGATACCAGTCTTGCTAACTATTACTTGTTGTAATGATTGGACCGTGTCTATAGAACAACTGAAGAAATTCGTGACCTGGAACAGCAGTTACGAGAGTTGATTATTTCCTCGGCTTCGATTGTGGATCAGCCTGCCTCGGTTGAGGAGGGTTTGGCAGAGATCCTTGGAAACCGACAAGACCTTGCCGAAGATCAGGATCCGGAGCAGGATGTCACGATCACCAGTAATACTAACAATTCAACGAAGGATAATACTAGGAATTCGCCTCCATCAGTGAGTCGCTCGCGGAGCGACACCAACACCCCACCAAGCAGGCACTCTAGTGATCCCGAAAGGCATCTAATGTAAGATTATTTTTTAAATTATTGATTAAAAACTAATGTACAACAACTCGAACATCCATTTCGGAGCATCATTAAGTATGTCTTTTCCTATAGAACTTTGATTCTAGCTTCTTAGCACGTGTAGTATAGCTACGTGTATACTTACGTCAGAAACTTAGTATCGAAGTTGAATAAAATCGTTATATAAGTGTCATTTAAAGCTATTTTGGTCAACAGGCCTCTCGTCGTACAAAATTTGCGAAGTGGGATACATTGTTCCCAAAGAATGAACTGTAACATTTCTAATTAAATGAATCGATTGAAAACATTTAGTCAACAAAGGGTACCATTTCATTAATCCTAAATAAACAACAAATTAATCTACACTATACGCCAATTTGAGTCCGTCTTTGTTTAATTTGTTTTGTTGAAGCAGCTCCGCTTCGAATCTGAGAAACGTTACCCACATGGCTTACTTTTACGCCATTTATTTAAACCATTGTAATAAGCGGAATCAGTCAGATGGGATATTTTTCCAAAGCGTTCCTTCGAAACAACAATTTCAGATTGACGACATGAAATATTGACTCTATCTCTTCTAGCTGGATAACAATTTTGTTAAATAATCCTTTTTTGAAAAACGTTTTTACGTGCTCATGAGATGTCCCTCGTACTTCGACCATAGGGCCTTTTATATTTCTACTCAAGATGCTCAATTGGAACTTATCCTCCAAGGTATTCAATATAAACTTTTTGTTAACGATGTATTCCTATATGTAAACATAGAAGACTCTTGTAGATAACAATCTAGGAAGACTCCCTATTCCTGCTGCATGTATTACCTAACTTTTCAAACAATATACCCGGACTAATTAAACTCAGGAAATAATCACATCACTGCTAAAATGTGTACCATAATAAATGTATAACAAGTGAATGTCTAAAAGGTATATTCTACTAGAAAGCAAAGGAGATCTCAGATTGAACATAAGATAGGTTTACAGTTTGTTCTCGTTCCTCTGGTCTATTACTTAATACGCATGCGGCGGTGCTCGACAATTCAGTGTTGCTTCTGGAATTTTTATTAGCAGTAACAGTATAAGAACGTACAGTACGTATGAGTAACCTGAACTAGCAGCGGCAATAGCCGACGGGCATCCGTTTATCGATTTACTCTGCGGTAATAGCGCGTGCACTCACTCCTCAAACCATCATTTGGAGGAGAAGAGAAAAATACGTATTTAGCGGCTTGCAAATTAAGAATCGTTTCGTGTCTTGCAACTACCTGTCTTTTTAATCGCGCCTTGACCAAACCTCGAGGGCCGTATGCCGCGCATCCAGCCCGTTCCATTGGCTGGTTCCGCTACGTTCCGATGACGAAATTTCGCAAACAAAAAGGATCAACGTTTAGAAAGGTTCAGCTATTCTTCCTTGCTCCCTGGTTTTGCCTGAACGTGGTGAAAAAAACGTAGTGCTTACGGGGGCCGGCCGGCCGGCCAGCCAGCCAGCCAGCGTGGACGATCCAAGCTCGTTGCTATGAGATAGATTTACGAGTCGCTACAAGCACAGGTCGACCGAAAGAACGTCAGCACAGCTGCAGCGGCAGACCTCTACATCGTCTTAAAGCACGAAAGAACAAGGTGATCTTTACATTTTTTAGTATCGTCTGCGGCAGAGAACAACATAGAAGCATTGAAGAAGAAAGAAAAATCGAAAGGGCGAAAGAGTTCGGGAGGGGAACTGGGGTATATGCAACGTAGCGAAAGTGGACTTCGCAACGAACTTAGAACGTAGGGCTATAATGTCACCAATAAACGCGAAAAGAATTGCATATGTCCGTTCGCTTATGGAAAACCTCTTCTATGTATTTTTTTTTTTCTTTATCTTCCTTTTCTTCAACTTGCGCCTATGATCTTTTTACAGAAAGATGCTTTTCACTTTCTAAAGAAAGTTAAAAATAAACAAGAGTAGAAAGTTTTACTTCCTACTTTCCTTTAATGGCTTGCCGGTGATTGGATGTATGGGAGCGTAACGCAGGGATCCGAAAAAGACAGATTATAGCTGTCTCTTTAAACAGCTAAGAGTGGAAGACGTGAAAAACAGTTACTGAAATTTGTTTCTACTGTGGAGAATGCAGCCCTAAGATTTTACTCAACGGACCTGAACAACACACGGTTAGCCTTAAGCTTATGGGGTTCGAGAGATGTATTGTGCTTAAATGAAAAATATTCGATAACTTGTTTGTAATAGAGAAACGTCAATAGTTCTATTCAATGTCAGACAACCAATAAATGCACCTATTTGAAATGAAAAAAAAAATCCCATAGAAGCACGTAACATAATATCTGAGCTTTCGAGCACAAAACGAAAATAGTTTGTCCGCTATTTACGTACGGTAAATGCATGACTTCATGAAGACTATTTAGTAGAAATTAAAAATGAAATAGAAATTAAAAAATGTCGCTATATATCAATCCTTGAGAGACAGCGCTAACAATACATGCCTTGATCAATGGACAATAAGGGTGAAAATGTTGACAGACGGATACTAAGCGAGCAGCCATGTACTGTGGAGGACCATGCCGTCGTTGTTAATACTGGAGTTGTATTGTGCGTCGGCATACGGCTGTTCGGCTGTGAACGGCGCTTACCTGGTGACAGGTGTCGTTTGGAACTGACAGGCTTTTTGCAGCTCATGAGTACTGCTAAAAAAAGCCTTTCTGAAAGGACAGTGTGGTCTTATTAGCGTCGTCGTGCTTGGAAAGAAGTTTCCAAGCTGTTAGCGACGCCTTGCGAGAGAATTCAAATAAGCATCTATCGCCAATCCTCTCTTTCGAGCTTTCCCGATAAAATCGGGTATGCGCAAAAAAATCGGGCCCTTATGTTAGCTTAAGAAAGTGAGAGGCGATGTTGACTAGAATATGACTAATACTAAGAATATTGACTAGCTAGTAGTATATTGAGTACTTTGGGAAGAATTATAGTATGATTAATAAAGTACACAATATAGATTAATTATATTGCCTTACTTTAATCCTGTATCAAGTGGAAGTTCATGAGATAGTTACATACGCTAGCATCAATACGTGCACAATGAAATCATAGCGAAGATCAAATATTCAATCTAATTTTATTTATCAATTTCTACTGGTGGCAATCAGAAGATTCATACAAAGTTTATCACTACAGCAATACGAGTTATATATAAACAGTTTGTCATATATGTATGTATGTGAATTTTATTGGGTTTATGGAACTAGTTTGAGAGATCACCCTAGAGATGATAAAGTATCAATAACTATTTCCTTCGTATTCGAAACACCTACTCGTATCGTCATGTTCGGGGAAATCTAGTTTCCTGCGAAGTCTATGATAGAAACAATGCACGGCAAAGTGACTGATAATATGTCAGTTTGGTCGGTTGAGTCCGATTCCACTTGTTATTCCTGGTCATGGTCTGAAGCAAAAAAATCCCTACCACTCTCGACGAACTTTTGTTTCATCATAAAGGTTGCCGTTGCTGGAAGCGCAAAACAGCAACGTTTGTCTTCGGATAGCAATTGTGAGTCGGCGAGACTATTTATGGTTTGAATAGCTTTTTTGCCAAATGATGCGTATTACAGACGTTGCGATCGGAGCAACTTTCAAATCGAATAGTTGACAGCGACTAGAGGGGATAAACGATGAGACAATTTGATTGCCCTTGTGCCTTCGTGCACTTTCCGACGCTGTACGCAGTGAACCTTTTGTCGTTTGCGGATAAGCGCAACTCCAAGTACGGAACTAGTTTACATAGCCAAGAGGCGATCTAGCGAGGTGAAATGGGTCAGTGGCTGCTGTCCTGCCCGTTCCCCCTCTAAACTTCATCGGTTCCATCTTGTGCCAGGTTTGTGACTGTTCCATGGAGCCGGGCTAGAGCTCGCTGCACTGGGAACCTGTACTAAATATTCTTAATGTGAACATACCTTTATTAGTTTGCAAAATTTGAAGAGTTTCGATTTCACTGTTCCAATAATACCTCTTCGTATATATGTAATATTTGTATAGCTGAATTCAGCAACCGGTCTCTACAGACTTTAAAAAAGTGTATCGGTTCGGCCAGGTGTGTGATTAATAAATTAACAATCATCCGTAAATGGATGATATCACTTCTATATTCTATAATTTTGTATCGGTAGCCGAAAATGGTAGCGCTAAAATACCCTGCCTATTGCCTAGCTGATCTCATGAACATCATTCTAACAATGGCGCACAAACTGATGTCAAGCAGCATCTACAAGTAACGTTTTTCCACTTGTTTTATCCAAAACAGAAATGATTCAAGTCGTTAACGTCTTAGCACAATTTTGATTTCTGAAGAGCTTTAAATAGTATTTATAGCGCCTTTATATGGTCTCAGTTTGCACGCTATCGAATGACGGCAACTCAGTTCCGTGTCCTGTTTGTTTCGTAATTGATGCGATTGAACACATTACATAAGTATGCTTCCTACTAATAATGTTCATGTAGCGTATCTTTACAGCTAAAACGAGTAGCTGCCTTCACTTCTGACCATAAGCACGCGTGGGTAGCTCTTCACAGTCACGTGAACCAGCTGTAAACATGTTTATTATGTATTGCGATTTGTTTCTGTTTGTTTATTTGCGACAACAGATCGACGTCGTCCGCCGTTGGAGGCGCAAGGGGCGGGGGTGGTGGTAACGGAGGCGGCGGAGGTACAAGCGGTGGAGCAGGAGGTGCCGCAAAACGAACCCGTAGCCGCTCGCATGCGCCTTCAGCGTCAAGCTCAAGCGATTCGGGCCACGCCTCACGTGAACGGCACATCCAACAAAGGATCTCACGATCAACTTTACCAAGGTAAGTGGGTAAGGGGTATGGAGAGTACTTTAGCTTGTGATTGTTGCGTATCTGTACGATAAGTTTCAGCCTAGGGCTGATGTACAGCAGATGATGGCCCGCTCTTAATGCTATAACAGATACAGCCAGTAGATGCTTGCGTGTTATGTAATGAACTATCGAAGAAACCAGAGTTTAAAAATTTCCTTCTTCGGTCGTATGTTTGTTGCATTTAGATATTAGATGAGTAAGCGTTGGCCACAAACTACTATAACTGCTTTTTACATAGTGCGAAATTAGGCGATGCATAACAAAAACTTCGTACCCCAATGAGCTTCGAGCAAGTTTTCAAAATGTAGGCATCAGAACAAACGTTAATTGCGCGACTAAGTTTTGCTCGTCCCAGTGTCTGCTGTGAAGCGTCGCTAACAAAAAGTTCTCTTGCCTAACTACTGAAGTGAATATAGCTGCCGAGAGAAAGATAGACACCTGCAAAGACCGGAGAGATTCAAGAAAGGCAGCAAAGAAGCACAAGGCATACATAATCTTTTATTTAGCAGGCCAGCTGACCTACAGGGAAGTACGTTGTAAAGACTGATGCGTTCGATAAATATGGCTGTGAATAGCGGTACAGCAACCATGTGGGCTTTGCCAGTCTGTAGAGTATTAGCAATGTAGGAGAATAAGCTTGGCCTTTTTATAAGCCTTGCTATAGTGTTATATTCAACATTAAATCGTAGTCCGCAGATAGACTCAAATAAAGGACTCTAGACAATTTAGGGACTTGCTCATTTAGCGACAGTAGGAAACAGGCTGCGTTTAAATCGAAGGTCTAAAAGATCGAATCCTCAGAGACTATTTGCAGAATCTACGTGCAGATCCATAGGAGCCGTCATCGGTTCATCTTTGTCGAAATAATCAGACAGCGTTCAACCATACATTTAATTAAAAAATACCAACAAGCCAACGAGCGAAGCCGACGATAAGTGAATATATATAATAGTTTTCGTTCATCACACGTCTGGTACGTATTCATGTGGCGTTTATGGGACTTGAGGCAACGACCCCCGCTTACCTGTTTCAGTTAAAAACTAGCACATCTAAACAGCCATATTGTAAAATCTTCTCGAAAAGAAGATGATAATCATACCTGCTCACGTGACATTATTACAGAAGCAGTTATAATAACTAAATAGCCAAGAACTGGTATTGCTTAATACTGTGATGCAACATACAATGTCTGTATCTAAAGACCTTTTATCATGTGTTGGCTACAGTGTATTCTTGGTGCATGTTTGTGTGTGCGAAATTCGTATAACAATCGAAAAGATTCTCGTCTCGTGCGTACTTCATCTCACCTTGTCTCCGTGACCTGACGTGGGCTCGTATCACACGTTATGCATGCGCCTATTGCGCGTTGTTATTGATGGCTATGGCCATGGTAATGACGTAGGCCTTTCGACTTACTCTAATGATGCGAGCATCGATCCTCATAATAGAATTTCTGTCGCATCATCGACGAAGTGCTCGATGGCGTTGGTAGCGTCTCAATGCTTCATTGCCTATATGCCTTTTCTCGGTGTGCGCTATCCGGTTTTACGCTGTCTTTTGCCAAAAGTAAAAGCACGAATCCGCGCCTGTTTCAGCAGCGACAGCACGATTAATTACAGAAAAATCTATTTCTGTAGTACGATTATTTAGCTGGCCATCTATTCATTGTTCGTTTGGTCCGTATCGATTGACTTCCGTCGTCGTCAGCTCTTCATGTTCCTTTTAACTTATCCGCCGCTAGCTCTCCACTGGTTTCCAGATATGTTCAACATAGCAGCTGTAACAGCGTCAGTTAGAAGAGAGCCCAATATGAGCTTCGATATTTCTAACTTCTTCAATGTTCTGTGGTCACTGCCAAATTGGTTAGAAAATGTACTCCTTTTTTTGCATTTAGCTTATTAAGTTAACGAACGACATTACTCCGTAATAGGGGCGCGAAGTTTCTAAATCCGGAAAAGTAAAGCCCAGGATTGATAAGAGCAAGCTAAATATAGTCAATTTAATCGAAACGACTAGGTAATACAATATATTCGAGCAGAACCTGTGTCGTGTACTTTTATTTCTGTTTCGAAAATTGCTTATCTCATGAGAGACGTATACACCGAGTGGGTAATCTATTTGTTAAAATACATAGAAAAGTAAATAGGCCTTAAAGGTAAAATAACTGTGTTTTGACCAAGCTCTTAAAGTAAACTGCGCAACTCTAGCAGCAATGAGCCTTGACAATAGCCACCGAATGCTCTACCTTACTTAAAAACGTCAAGACTTAATCTACGGGTGTGTTCCATAACTTCCGTTACTTTTTGAGCTTGATCCTTAAACAAATTGCTTCAGGGGAATTAAATAAATAGCATATATACATATACATATATATGTGCGTATGTGTGTGGAAGCGGTACCAACCTTACGGGCTGGGTTAGGAGCTGGATTATGTGACTCGTATGGTTAAAGGTAAAGCAAGAGGAAACTGCAACGTATCTGATTGTTGAATTTAACGTACGAGATCTTCTCAAAGTAAGCTGGAGTTTTTCATCTCCATGCAGAGATATGGCGCTAAGCCATTTAAAATGTTCGCCTACTCTTGTTTATGCGCTTATTCAAGCTGGTCTGCTGGAGATGGTCGGATGATGGATCACCGTTTGGATTTGGATATTGGCAGACATCAAAAAAGAGGAATCGAGAAGCGACTACATGAAGACAAAGCGTGTCATTCAGAGTCAGCTGAATCGAATGTCAGAAGCAATGCCAATACACTCTAATGTCTGATTAAATACTCAGATATTTATTTTTGTTTTCACCAGACAAGAACTAATAATTGACTCCGATAAGGTTACATAATACATTTGATTTTATAGACAAGCAAACAGAAGTGAGAAAAAGCAAAGTTTATATTCGTTCATTGGCCAGATGCAAGACAAGAACTTTATTTACACACGTGTTAGCTACAGTTTGTTACCATATACAATCTGTCGGGGGATTAGCTTCACTGAAAATTGCGAGATCATTTCGCAGGGGGGTAATGTAGGACCTTGAGTTCATTTTCTGCTGACGGAACGCTTTATTCGACGGGTGCGTCCCACAGAAAAACTTTCTGATACCTGACCTCTCCTTTTCCTGGTCTTCAGTTGCGGAAATTCCATCTGACCTGCGTATAGATTCCAGCGTATCCCTGACTTTACACGCGCCAGAGCATAGATAAGGTTTGCGGTCGGGTCACCGGAGGAGGTGCGCTGTCGCAAAGAGCTCGTTTTCACCCAGTTGCCTTGCTTAGCTTTAATGCTGTTTTCTTGCATTCGAATTTTTTTTTCATGTTTATTAAGCTGAACTGTGATACTGTGATCTAGTGTACTAAATTCGGGCTACCCAAGAGTAGAAATAGCAGCTGCGAGCTAATCAGCAAAGAGCGGTTAGGAAAATTAGCAAGGATCTATTTTATGACGATTATATTGTACGCTAAGTCCATTTATAACGATGAATATACCAGCACTAATCTAAATAGTGCAGTCACATCGGACAGATGTTGACGCCCATTGTCTGTACTAATAAGATCTTCCCTTCCTAAAAATCCAACTTCCTCTTAAGCGTTTAACTATTTTAACCGTCCATACGCCAGTCATTGATGTTCAGAGTCGCTGTCTCAAGCCCTTTCTGCACAGGAAGCCGCGCGCCTCGATAATCCTAGCATAAAAACGGTAGTCGCCAGTGCCGTTTATTCAACAGAATTTCTCATTAAATTCGAAAAAACAAGTTAACATATTTACACAGTTCCATACAACGGTCCATACAAGTCTCATAACGGCGGCGGCCTAATTCGATTTTTTAGCCTAACACTGTCGTCGGAAGCACATTTCGCCTAAAAAAGACCAGAACAGTGGCACTACCTTGGGAACACTAAATCGCTAGAGGTCCTGCCCGCTTCCAGCGAGCAATAAATGTCTAACTGTCAAGGCGTCAATTAATTCATACTGTGTTACTATTTCCACGGCAGCCGTGAGAAAATCAGTAGACGTAGGAGATCGGATAGGACGTGCGGAAGGTCGAGTCATTAACAATAGGCTAGTTGAAGTGACTATAATAACCCAGCTAGCTCAGCCTAGATATACCTAGCCGCCTAAAGAGATTTCTAACCTTGGTTGAAGCTGTGTGTTTTTCGTGTAGTGTTTTCACTTGCTATCAATCGCTTTAACTGGTTTTGCAGTAGACGATTTTCTGGAGGGAAGCGCTTGATTTGACAATAGTGATAGCAGGATTTGCGTTTAAGGCACTAGTCTTCTTTGATGTTTTGCAAATACTTAGAATAAATGCAAGCAACCACGGAGCTTGGTTTACTGATCAAAGAGTCCAGTGCTTTTAAGTGGACCCTCATGAAGAACCAGTAGTGAAATCTATGAGTTTTCTATTTAGCAAATAACACATATTTTATAATGCTAAATTGAAGAAGGAAGATGGAAATAGTTTAGAGATGCTAAACAGCAGAAGATAACCAGACTTTCGTCTCGTGTTTTCGAGCGAAAATCTCTTTGATCCGAATGATGCACTAAGATGCGATATTTGATTCGACAAGTGTTCTGGCGGAGGCACCGATAAACACCTACCGTATTCGGAGGTAAGACAAATCTTATTTAGATTATTTTCATACTGTAATTTTTACCGTACTGAACACTATTTAATAGTCCGCCTATTTCGGAGCTTATCTTTGACATGGTGGCCTAGAAGTCGTTTGAGGATATATTTACTTTGGGCACCCAGTAGAGCAAAGTAAATCTGAAAACAAAGAACTGTGAAGTGTTTCATGTATGTAATAGAGACGGTGCTAGACTATCTTAGGTTTTCAAATGAATTTATTCTCCCAGTTAGGTACCGCAAATGAAACTACTGAAGTATATGTATTCAGTTTATCCTTTAGAAAACTTCATGTTATTAAATGTATATGATTCGTCGCCTCACGGCAATCCTTGCAATATTAACTG